ATTGTCCCTGTAGCTCATGGGATAGGCTGCAGAACCCCAACCCTGAGTAGGGGAAGTGGTTTCAGAAAATGGATAAGTAAAGAGGTTTGGATTACAAATGAATTCCTATAGATCTTTTAATTTCAGAAAATTAAAATATTTACCTAACCAAAATTTGTATAAATGTATGTAACTTGATTTAGGCAGAGTTAGCTATAACTAGACCTTCACCTCTGTACTTACTAATACAATGATTTGTTGCTTAGTGTTGTTGGGGGCTCAGTTATATAATCTGTTGTTTGAAAGTACACCCCCCACCCCACCCACACATTAACATATCGCGAATGTCTTCCAGCCAATAAATGGAGTATGTCTTATCTTATAAGACACCCAAAAAGAGAGAAACTACTGATAACCATAAAATCTGATTTCCCATTTCTGTGCAGATGAAAGAGAACCTGCTGTCTCAAATGTCATTGTAACATTTAACTCGTTTACAGTAGAGTGTCGTACTTGCTTTAGATGCTCTCCTACAGACAGTAGCCCATGACCTTTGCGTTGGTAGCCCCACGGGAGCGGGCGGAGCATTACGGTTAACCAACGGGACCCTGAGAAAGAAAACTGTTCAAATTTATAAATTATAATAATACGTTATAGATATATCAGAGTTCATTTTCATTCGTTTAAAAATATAAAGATTTTAAATTATATAATTATAAGTCGTCTGAGCATATGGCTGCGTGCATATCTTTTCGCTGCTCATTCCTTCCACCTCTATCAGTGAAGTGGGCATGTATTTGACTGTAAGCAGTGGTACTCAGTCATTATCTGCTTACTGGATCTGCTTACTGGATCTGCTGCATGGGCACCATGGAAGACATCAATTTAACATCATTTCCGAACGCGGTAAGTGACGTTTAACGGTATCTACATTATAGTTTATTTTATTTGAAAGCCGTTAGGTGGTGAGACACTTTTCTGAAAATAGACTGCTGATCACAAGTGGATGTTGTTATTAAAAACTTAAATGGCCCGTAACAGTGTGATATTAATTGTTATATTGCTGATACTGTACCTTACTGGAGCGAATAATATTTTAAGTCAATTTCAAAACACTCATTCAGTCCATGCGATACGTTTTCGGGAATTACAGGAAGGTCCGTGAAGGTTTGGAAATATCACCAACGTTCTTTGCTGATTATATGCGTTTTGGTACCTAATACTGTGACATAGGATGAGGAAGCCTAATTTTATGTCTTTGGTGGTATCATCTCAAAAACAACAAAAAATGCACTGGATGACTTTTGGAAACTTTTTCTTCGGTTGTTGTCCAGCATATCATTATATATCATTAATCTAGTAAAGTGTATAGGTATTAGTATCGAAGTCCTAATACTTTATTGTGCCCCCATAATTATTGTTATGCGGGTTTGCCTTGTGTGACGTTGCAGAACATTCTTTAGCACTTCTTTGATAAGATAACTTAAGCAATAGGCCACTTATTTTCTTACTTTTCTTCCCAGTAATGCTATTGCATACGGCTTGTTTGAAACTGGAGGTTTATGAAGTTTTAGTTGGAGCAGAATGAACAATGACATGAACTTTACTAAATGTCGCTACATATATCTAATACAATGGTAACTGCCTATGAATTTATGCTGTTATAGTGATTACAAGTAGCAGAACACAAAGTGTAGTTGAAAGTTATGCCAACAGGATGCAGAACAGCACTGGACACGAGTGTCTAGAAACTTTATCTCACTGTGTTGCTGAAATCCTTGATGTCCATTTAGAACAACCAGTGGTGCAGCACAATTGAGAAACTGAGTAATTGATTTACCCTAACTAATTTGAATACAGAGTACTACTGGTTGGGGTTCAAGGTAAGTGAACTGTCAGGCTCAGCGACAGCAGACCCTGCCCTCCGTGTTCCCCTCCCATTTGGCCAGCAGGTGTCACTGGCCGTTCTCCCTATTTCTTGCCCTTCGGCCCCAATGTGCATAAGTCCCTAGTATGTTTTCCCTGCCCCCCTAACTGCCGCACAGGTCAGTGGGCTGAGTGTGCAGCTCAGATA